CCCTGGGCACTCCCCAGGAGCCCCAGAGAAGGGACATTAAGAGGTGCCCTCCCCTTTTCACAAACCTCCTCAGCCCTGGGAGCTTGGGAAGCTTTGCAAATCCCAAAGAAGTTTCTGGATTCCTCTGGGACCAGGTCATCCCTTGCTGTCAGAGCCAGATCAGGAGCCAGGGAGCAATTTCTGAGGGGAGGCACAAGAGTGGAGTGATGAGTCTGGCTGGATCAGGAGAGCAATTCAGCATCTTTGCTGTTCAGCTCCACCTCAAAGACACAGGACACACATTTTGTAACAATTCCTGCTGCTCCAGAGGTGAATTCTCCTCTCTCTGAAGGACCAACCTCAGCCAAGCTGCAGAACTGGCTCTCCTGCATCTTGAGCAGGACTTGGCACTTCTGGGGGATGAGCAGGAATGACCCAGCTCCAGAATCCAAAGCCTTGTTTTGGATACACTGTCCTCTCCAGCTCATGCCAAGCACAAACCACAGAAATCAAGATGATTCCAGGGGAGAATTGATTCAGGTTTTACAGATGCTGGAGCCAAGGGGAGAAGGAGCAAGGCTGGAGATTGATGGGAGGCACAACCTTCTTCAGACACTTCTCAGGCAGAGCCCAGAGAATCACACAGTCACTGAGGTTGGAAAAAGTCAAGTCCAACCATCAACCCAGCAGCACCACCTTGTTCAGCACTAAAACACGTCCCCAAGTGCCACATCCACATGAGGGCAGGGTTTAGTGGGAAGGTGGAGGTCAGAGCAGAACTGAAGGGCAGAGCTGCACAAACCAGGTTGATGATGGAGATCCTGGACCACCACCCAAATCCCTGCTGCAAGATGTGTTATACTCACCCATTTATTTTTATTAGAGAGGTTTATTAACACTGATCCAGTGAGAATTGAGTGTTGATCCCTAATGCCACAGCCCTACAGTCACAGGGGCTGCCAACCTGCTCTTAAAAATGTGTATTCTGGGCAAAACCCTATAGAAAGGTGCATGGGAGAAATTCAGTAGGAAGAAGCACCGCACAACAATCCAAAATGCTACAAAATCTTACCCCAGGAACTGCTACAAGAAAATTTTCTGTGCTTACTCACTGAGCCCTCACACGGAATTAACACCAGGCCAGGAAAAACACGGCCTTATCCCGGTAAGAAATCATCCCATGTTTTCATGTGCCACCTGCACACACTGAGCAAATCTACAAGGCCCTAAATATAAACAGACAGCCCTTTCCTGGCTGTTAAAATGAACAACCTCAGCTTGTTCTCTGAGCAAGCCAAAATTACAGCTGCTCAGAGATCAGACACGTTTTAGGGTGGGACACTTTCTGTCCCGTCCCCCCTGCTTTTTACAGTGTTTGTAGCTTTATGAATAAGGCATTGATTGTGCCCAAACCCCAAAGATATCCACCTTGGAGGGAGAGCTAAAATTAGTGTTAAGTATATTCCTGAAGCTGCCAGGAGGAAAGACAGCTCGTGTGGGATGCTGGAGATCCGGCAGGCAAAACAGCATTCCCAAAAAGGCCAGTCCTGTGCTGCAGCCCTGGCTGGAGAGCCCATGGCTTTGCACACACCCCACACAGCCACTTTTATGTCCAGAAAACTTGGTTATTCCTGGAAAGCCCAGCAGGGTTGAGCTGTGCCAGCACACACACACCTGAGTGGGCAGTGTCTGGGAGCAGAGGAAGCTCCCAGGTGCCACCACGTGAGCTGTCTTGAATTTCCATCCCAGAAGACCCCGAGTCATTTTAAAGGCAATAAATATGCAGCTGACATCCCCCTTTTTGTGGAGTAAGAGGCAGGTCTGGGTAGAGCAGGGCACTTTTAACCAGCACAGGGAAAAGGTGGGAAAAGGAAAAGAAATGTCTTCATTCCAAAGGATATCAGGGAGTGCATGGAGGGCTGGGTCAGTCAGCTGGTATGGAAAATTCCAGAACAACTGGATAAGGAAAGCAGAGCCTCCCTGACTGCCCTGTCTGGAGTGAAATCAGGTGTGTTTGTGTGAGTGTAGGTGTGCCCAGCTGGAGCAGAGCAGACTGAGGGCAGAGCTCAGCGGGGGCTGCAGCTCCTCCCGAGGGGCAGCTCCGATCTCTGCTCTGGGGGAGCAGGGACAGCCCCCAGGGAATGGCTGGAGCTGTGTCAGGGCAGGCTCAGGGTGGATCTCAGGGAAGGGTTCTTCCCCCACAGGCTGGTTGGGCACTGAACAGGCTCCCCAGGGCAGTGGGCACAGCCCCAAGGCTGCCAGAGCTGCAGGAGGCTTTGGACAATGCTCTGAGGGACAGGGGGGATTGTTGGGGTGTGTGTGCAGGGCCAGGGGTTGGACTGGATGGTCCTTGTGGGTTCACTGCAGCTCAGGACATTCAGTGATTCTGTTCTATGCTCTCTATATGTCCATATCTTAGTGTGCATCTACAGACACCCTGAGCACCCTCAGTGCCCCATCAGCAATGGCAGAGGCAGCACATGTCACACACACCCCTCCTTCCCCTTCCCAGCCTTTGCTTACATTTCATCTGGTCTGCTCTGATTCCAAGGTTTAATAAAATTTAATCCCAGCATGTCTCGAATTAATTAATTAGATCTCATTCCAATCCACGGTGCCAGTTCCTGCAATTCCCCTGGTGCTCAGGCAGAGTCAGGGATCTGCTGCCCCCAGGAGCAGCCACGGACCAACCCTGGTGTGTGAGCCCAGCCACCACACTGCAGAGGGGATTATTCCAAAGCAGTTTGGTTTTTCTTGCCTGTGGTTTCCCCACCAGAACAACTCCTCTATGTTTAAACAGTGACAACATGACATCAGCCCCACTCAGAGCCCCCAGCAGCAGAGTGGGAGCCCAGACCTGCAAATTCAGTCTTTATTCATCAAAATTCATGAGCTGGGATCAACGAGCTACCTGGGACCCTCCCAATCCATGTGCTCCAACTACAGCTCATTTGCCCCCTCCCTGTGCTCTGAGCTTGTTTCCCTCTCCAAATCCTCCTCAGTGAAGGATTTTTTTTTAATTCCCTGTTGTGAAAGAAACCATAAAACTTTTTTTTTTTTTTTTCTTCCTCTTTTTCCACCAGGAACAAGCTGTGGGAATTCAGAAATGGGGATATTTTAACAGGACAAAAATCTTTATTCCCTGTGCTGATCCTCCCTGGTAGATGATTTCCACCAAACATGACATGTCACCGGGTGCTCTGCGGAGCATCCTCACGGTGCTGCAGCTCCACGGCCCTCCCAACAGTTTGAGCTGTCTCTGCTCATCTTCTCCCCTGCCACAGCTGAGAGAGGAGCAATCCCAGGTGCTCAGTGGCCTCGGTGACAAGCAGAGCATAAATGAACCGACATGGACCGCAGAACAGGAGATATTTCCCCTCTGCATCACTGTCTGCTCTGCACCATCTCCATGCAGGGTAATTAATTCTGATCTCAGAAGAGTCTCATCAGTTTTGTCTGCTGCCAGCGTGCTGGGCAAGGCCCCTGATGAAGTGCAGTTGTTTACAAACACGTTAAAGCGTATTTAAACCCATTGTATCTCACTCCAGCTGCCCAAGTACTTTTTACTCAGCTCCTGGACTCGGCCCAAACCCAAAAATGACAGATTGCCAAAAAGGACAGAGAGGAGGGGTGGAGGGAGGGGAGGAGGGAGGGATGTGAAGTGGCTAGACAACACAGCACATGAATACATTATCCTGTTGCCTCTGGGAACCGAGGTCAAAGCTGGACCGGGCTGAAGAAACACGTTGTAAGAAACCCTGGTGAAAGTAAAGCTCGGGGAGGTAATCAGCTCCAAGTGCATCCAAGCAAGGGTTTGCTGGTGGAGGCAGCTCGGAGTCACGCTGACTGTGGTTCCCTGTGGTTCCCTGTGGTTCCCTGCTGCTCCCAGGGAGCACAACTGTCCCCTCAATCACCTCTCACCGAGGGGACAACAGACTGGGCTGTGTCACAGGGGCCGCTGCTCCCCAGGGCACTGTGCTGTGCCCCTGCACTCCCGTGTTCTTCCCAGGCCTGCAGCTTCTCCACCACAAAACCCTGTGCCTTCTGTAGGTGCAGCAGCACCACCTCCCCCAGCCTGACCCCGTTCCCAGAGCTTTCCTGCTCTTTCCCTGCCGTGCTGCCCATCCAAGGCCACCGTGTCTGACTCTGAAAACAAGCCCGGGCTGTGGGTCTTCAACCTGCAACCTGCTCCTGTGGGATGTGCATTCCTGTGGAAAAGCTGTACACACCAAAGCAGGGAGCAAACCATCCCATTTTCCACTTGAAGCCTGTTCTCATCTGTCTCACCTCGGCCAAGTGTCCTTAAAATCCCCCCTGGACATCGGCATCGGATCCTGGATTGAGCTTCTACAACAAAGCTGGTGGCCAATGTCCCTGCCCAGGAACACAACACCTCCTTCTGGAGGGCTCTCCAGGAGCTCCATGAACAGTATTTTATTTTCCACAAACTTCCCCAAAGTTGGACAAGCAGCATCCCAAAGGAAGGCAAGACTTCCTCAGGAAATGAAGATGGAAAGGGGAAAAGGCAGAGCTTGTGAGGGACAGGGGGAGCTGGAAGGGAGGGTGGGATTTGGGAACCTGCTGGTCATGCTGCTCAGCAGCAGCTTCTGGTTCTAAATATTTTATATTAAGCAGCTGCTGGATAAAGAGCCAGAAGGAAAGATGTGACCTCCACCTGCAACCACACTACCTGCTTCAGAAAATCACTGCAAACACCTGCACAGGAACACCTACAAACCAAACCAGAGCACGCTGGAAGCAGAAATGAAATGAAAAAGCATGATTGGACCCCGTTCTTCCCCCTCAAAACATCTTTTAAATGCTCAGTCAGTACATCTGCTCCAGGAACTGCAAACCCCTGGGGCTGTGTCACCTCAGAGGGGCTCAAAACCTGGGAGAACCCAGGAAAGCAAACCCCCAGCACACCACAAGCAGCACAGCCACAGGCTCCAGCCACAAAGCCCTGGGGCCACAGGGTCTGTGGTCCCACAGGGACTTCCCAAACCACTGGAGCCTCTTACCTGTGGAGAAGCTGCTACAGGTTCATCCTCTGGCACTCGGAGGAGACTCAGGTGTTCATCCAGTGACCTGGGAGAGGGAGCCTGGGGGAGAAAACAAGAGACCTGAATGTAATGGGGCAGATTTAAACATGTCATTGTACCCCAGAGACAGTCACATCCCCTCCAAAAATATCCCCCTGATATTTTCTGCTTGCTCCCATCAAGACTTTGGGGGTTTTCCTTACTCTCCCTTTCCCTCCTTTATCTCCAATCCCTCCTGTCACCATTTTGGGCATTTTTCTCTGGGCTGTCCTCTTCTCACATGCAATCTGGACTTGGGGGCAAATCATTTTTAAAGAATACCATTGCAAAGAATTTTTCTTTATAGGTGAAATAATTCACTTCCAGCTATTCAAAGACAAGGCACAGGAGAGTGGCTGGTGATGAGCTTTGTGGTTCTCCTAAAATCAGCCCCCGAATGCAAACTGGGCCCCACCCTGACTTCTTTAGAGCTGGGAAATAAAGCTGAGCATGTGCCCAGCCCTGGCCCTGCCCCAGCCTACTGAGGGTGAGCTGCTGTGGTCCCAGCTGGGGATGGATCATTCACTCCCAATCTCAGGGCTGGTGGGGCTAAATTTTAAAAGAAAAGTAAAAATCACACCAGGCTGTGGGAATGCACCCAGGAGAAATCATTCTCAAAAGGCTGAGAGTGGTTTAAAGCAGAATCACAGAATCACAGAATGGGAAGGGACCTCAAAGCCCATCTCATCCCACCCCCTGCCATGGGCAGGGACACCTTCCACCAGCCCAGGTTGCTCCAAGCCCCATCCAACCTGGCCTTGGACACTTCCAGGGATGGGCACATCACCCATAACACGTCCTGGATGCAGGGAGAATAAAGCAGAATGTTGGGCAGCGTTAATGAAAGTGTCTGCAGCCCCAGGGGCAGTGGCCCTGTGTGTGAGGACACCACAGGAGTGACAGCAGGTGACATCCCCTTGGTGACCTGGAGCATCCTCAGTGCAAGGGGAGCAAGAGGAGCCACTGCAGCCTCAAACCAGCAGCATGTTTAAATACAATAACAATATAAATATAATAATGTATATAACATATACAACATAACAACATTGCAAATATAATAACAATATAAAATGACAGCTCTGCCATTGTGTGGCTCCTTTTAGATGGAGATTCCTGGATATTTTGCCATTAGTTCTCATCATCTCCCCCAGGAGAGTGAGGGATGAGCCCGTTTCACTGCTGTGGATGCTGAGGCAGGGAGGGCTGGAACTTCCCAAACCACGTTGGACAGGGCTGCACTGACACCAGTGCAGAGCCCCCAGGATCATCCCCATCCCTCAGCCACACCCATCCATGGTTACTCTTATGGTCTCCTCTAATTAATCCTTCTCACTACACAGGAGGAAATAACTCCAGACGGGTCAGACTCCCAGGATTTAATGGAACAGACACTGTTAGGCCACCCAGCAATGCTTCCTAACATCTCCCCCACCGTCCCTTCTGCTGCCAGCAATTAGATGAGATAATTTCAAATGTGTCCTTGTTAGTGGCTTCTCCCGAAGTGTGTTTGGCAGATACAGAGCCAGAATGAAGCTGCAGAAACCTCTGCACAAACAAATGTAAGAGCAGGACAGGGCTGAGTGTGAGCACTGACAATACCTGAAATCATTGTGAGGAGAAAGCTGAAGGCACAGGTGAAGATAAAGCCCCCCCCCCAGGCTAAGAAAAAGCTCATTTATGTGTTAATCTCGCAATTGTATTAAAACAAAACGATGCTTAAAAAAAAATGCTTATTAAAACAAAACTGCCCAACCAGCCTCTGGGAGACCTCCCTGAGACCCACCCTGAGCCTGCCCTGACACAGCTCCAGCCATTCCCTGGGGGCTGTCCCTGCCCCCCAGAGCAGAGCTCAGTCCTGCCCCTCCTCTGCCCCTGCCCAGGCAGTTGGAACTGCACTGAGGTGTCCCCTCAGTCTCCTCTGCTCCAGCTGAACACACCAAGTGCCCTCAGTGTCCTCACACACCTTCAAATCCAGGCCCTTCCCCATCTCTCTGCCCTCCTTTGGACACTCTCCAATGGCTCAATCTCTCCTTCCATTGTGTCCCCCCAGAGTGCCCCAATGTTGAGGTGAGGCCGCCCCAGGGCAGAGCAGAGCGGGACAATCCCCTCCCTGCTGCCCCCAGGACAGGGCTGGCCCTCCTGGCTGCCAGGGCACTGCTGACTCAGGGACAGCTGGCACCACCAGCACCCCCAGGGCCCTTTCCCTGCCCTGCTCCATCCTCCTGCTGACTGCTGCAGTCAATCCTGCATCCCTGAGCTCACGTGCAGGATCCTGCCAGCCCTGCCCAGGGAATCAACGCATGGAAAACCTGGCTCCAGCACAGTGTTGCTCTATTTTACTTTCTTTACTGCTTGAAAAACATTTGGTGGTTGCTGGAGAGAGCCAGGCCAGACCAACACGTTACAGCCCTCCAGAAACAGCACTCCCTGCCTCGCACAGCTCTGCAGCTCCAGAGCTCCCTGTCAGCTCAGCCTGGCTCTGGCCATGGAGCAGCTCCCAGGAAGGCAAAGCAGGGCTGTGGAGCCTCCACCTTGGGATGAATCCCTGCAGGAAGGTTCTGTGGCTTTGAAGGCAGGTGAAGAAAGCGTGAGTGGGTTTGATTTCCTCTCCCTGCCTGCCAGCTCCCGGGTGTCTCGTACAAAGTGTTTAATGAGCTGATTTGTACCTTGGAGAAGGAGCTGCAACGTCACAGCTCTCTGGAGCACTGGCCTGGCCAACAGGGCTCTCTGTGAGGACAAGATTCCCAGGAGTTCTGCTGTGCCAGCACATCACACTCACTGCCCTCAGGGAAGGTCAGTCTGCAGGACCAACACTGGCTTTTCCCTGGAAGCCACCACTTGGAGCAAAATATGGTGGTTTCTGGTGATACAGACCATCCTTAATCCATAAAATAAATAGAATTTATAGTTTGAGTTGGATTCAGACTGGTGACCATAGAATAACCGAACCACAGATGGTTTGGGTTGGAAGGGAACTTAAAGATCATCTCATTCCACGCCCTGCCATGGGCAGGGACACCTTCCACTAGCCCAGGGTGCTCCAGGACCCATCCAACCTGGCCTTGGACACTTCCAGGGATCCAAGGGCAGCCACAGCTTCTCTGCCCAACCTGTGCCAGGGCCTCTCCACCCTCACAGCCAACAATTCCTTCCCACTATCCCATCTATCCCTGCCCTCTGGCAGTGGGAAGCCATTCCCTGTGTGCTGTCCCTCCATGCCTTGTCCCCAGTCCCTCTCCAGCTCTCCTGGAGCCCCTTTAGGCCCTGCAAGGGGCTCTCAGGTCTCCCTGGAGCCTTCTCTTCTCCAGGGGAACCCCCCCAGCTCTCCCAGCCTGGCTCCAGAGCAGAGGGGCTCCAGCCCTGGAGCATCTCCAGGTTCTCCTCTGGACTCTCTGCAGCAGCTCCAGGTCCTTGTGCTGCTGTTCCCAGGGCTGGGGCAGCTCTGCAGGGGGTCTCACCTGAGGGGCAGAGGGGCAGAATCCCCCCCTCTCCTGTTACCCCCATTGTGGGATCAGCTCAGGACATGGGGAGCTGTTCCTCTCTTGCTTTCTCCTTTCACTGCTAGAAAACATCTTTTATTTTTTTGGAAAATTCTGTTCAGAGTGTCCCCATCACTCAGAGACAAACATGGAATATTGGCATAAGCCTGGTACAGGAGCCCAGTGCCACAGCCCAGGTGTCCTGGGGGCATCACACAAAGTGTGTCCTTACAGGTGAGGCTTTCCTGGGGCTAATCAGGGCTCTTCCCTGCTGACAGCCCCGCTCTCTGATTGCTCTTACACCATCACTTTGGGTCAGGTTGGGGCAGAGGCTGCTGAGGTCATAACCTTCCCCCATGACTTGTGCCTTACTGTCACCTGGTGACACCAGTGGCTTCACTGGCACCATCATCCAACCTTGTTCTGGGGACCCCAAACCCAGCTCTTCCCGCCACCCTTTTACCACACTGCTTCAAAGCCCAGGACAGCACAGCCTCTTTTCCCCACAGAGACTCTTTTCACATAATTAACCCAGACGTTTCACCTTGATTTTTTGGGGGCTCTATTTTTTTCGGGGTGGGGGGATGCAGAGCCTGGAGGCAGCTGTTTTGCCTCCTGTGCTTTTGCAACCTGCCAAACGCGGTGCCGGCTCTTATTAAACCCGGGCTGGTTGTTATGGCAACACGTGCACGTGTGTGCGGGGAAAACAGAGCCGAGCCCGGGTTGTCACGGGCAACACGAGGCATCTTCCCAGTCCCACCGAGCTCCCTGCCTTGCCCGGTGTCATCTGAAGGCAGCAGGGGCTGGGAGTTATCCTGCTCTCCCAGCGCCCGTGCCAGCGGCTGGCTGGGAGCTCAGCGCCCGTCTCGCAGCTGATTCAGCTCCTGGAGATAGAGGGTAATTTTCCTTTCTCCTGTTTGCTTCCTCCTGCCTCGCAGGCTGCCACGGCACCTTCACCCAGCTGGGTAAGTAAGACAAGCTCGTGGCTCCCTCCCAAACAGATGGCTGCAAGGAAGGTCCAAAAATAATCCTGCGAGTTTTGGAGCCCGCCTGGCTGATTGGCAGAACCTCCAGAGACCACCAGAAGAAGCAGATGGTCAAGACATGAGATCAGAGCTGGAGACGGGGGGTGTCAATCAAGAGGTTGGAGTACCAGGCTCTGGGATGTGGGACAGGCACCAAGCACTGCCCCAGGACAAGCATTTGAGCAACGAGAGTGGCTGCAAAGTCTGGGTTTGATTTCAAGGAAGATGGTATCCAAAAAAATCACAGCTTTGTGGTGCTGCAAAGGTCAGCCCTGGTATTGCTGCACCCCTGAGAGGATGGGCTGAGCCTCTGTCAAACCCCACAGCAAACTCTCAGGCAGAATATCCAAATAAATAGGGGATAAAATAATAATAAATAGGGAAAGAACAACCAAACAGCCACTGCAGAAATAAGAGCAGGGCAAAATCCCACCAGCTGTAATGGTGTTATGTAAAACTATTCAGAATATCCTTCTGGATGCTGGGCTGCCCCCAGGCTGCACTGGTACCCTGGATC